AACTCGTATTGACATATGTACTTGCAGCGAAAGAATTATTTCCGAAATAAGGTACTTAATATTTTTCTATACTTTATAAGAGCTTTATCTCTCTCAAATTAATTTGAAATACATCACCGACGTAACACTATGCGAGTCTAATTACAAGGCTTGAATTTCCTGCGGAGAGATATAGCATCGGAGGTTTCGGATACGGCTGCACCGATCATTACACGGGACTGTGGTAAAGGGTTAAATTTCTGAGATTAGATGTTACCGGATGCACGAGACGCGGTTACGTGTAACGCAACGACGAGTTCGAGTTAGCTGCCAAATTAAACAGCTTTCAATGCAGGTATTTTGATGCGGAAACAAGCACGTTTTTGTAAATACGTATTCTGTTTCCTACTATCGCAAAAAACATAAATATATCTCTCTCTTTTCTTCATTTAAAAAAAGTATAATGTGCACTTTGCAGAAAGAAGTAAAAAATAAAGTCACGTAAAAAATGTATATTGTACGTGATTAAACAGAAGGAAGAAAGACAAAAAAGAAAGGAAACAAAAAGACAATATTTTGCATGCGCACACGCGAGGTTTCTCTCTATGCCAACAATACATCTAAACGAGATAGGAAGGGAAAACAAAAAGGTAAATGTTATTACAGTAACTGATCGGAAATTGAACGAAGTTGAGATTGAAATTTCTGACTTTGATCATGATTACATATGTATAAAAAATGTGTATAGGAAAATGTATGGAGAGTCATCAAAATTTTTTTCTTTGCAACTCGATCAAACTTTATTTCTCTCCACAATTTCATAATTACTAAAATGTGACAATTGGACATAAACTATTTCTATAATATTTTTCAGTGATTGAAAATATGTTAAAAGAGCTTTTTTAGCGAGTAATCAAAGTTTGGAAGAGTAAATAGATAAGAAATTTGAATTATTCTGAGTATTGTAAGTGTGCTTTTAACAGAATCTTAATTTAAGATTTTATTGCAAAAATATTTAAAGATGAAAGTTAAGACGACGATAATAAATAATATTGAGAAAAAAAATCAATCCTCGCATAATTTTCTTCTTAAATTATTCTATCATTATTTATTAGCTAGACGATAGAACTTTATTCATGTAATAATTTTGAGTTACATTTTAATTCAACGCTATTAATTGCAAAATTACGACTATTCTTTGTACAGTTTCCCATCTAATCGCCGTCTGGTTGAAGTACATGAGGTGCGTATAAACGGTGTAGCAAAGTCAGCGCGAATTGTACGAGAAAAAGGAGTACGGAAAGGAAGAGAAGTACGGCGACAAAAATCAAGGCTATTCAGCGTCGCTATATTAGCAGATCTGATTTATGTCCTTTCTTCCGTCGTTTCCTTTCTCTTTCCGGTGGGAGAGAGGAAGAGAAGAGTCCTTCGGCACAGTCGTGAGCGACAAGACGGTGGCGAGCATCTCCGAGCGAACACCCTTCAACGGCGTTAGAAACGCGATAGAAACGATTGTCGCGATCTGAGCACGCAATCAAAACTTGGACTTCTTCTTGAAAGTGAATTACTCGCGACCAGGGTCCGTCCCAGAAGAGAGATTCTCTGGATTCTAGCGCGTATACACAACCGAACGCTTCCTTCGCAAACTCCCGTATACAAGTCAGTGATTGTAAATACACGAAGAGCGAATGTTTCCGCGTTAAATCGTTGCATTGTTGACATGGGATAACAATTGGGAAAAACAAGCGACCTGTCGATACAGCGGTTAAATTGCTAACAATAATTGATAACGGTCAGTAAAATAAACGTACAAATATATTCTCGCTTCAGAACAAATAGAAATAGTGGCAAATAGAATCAACCTATTTGGAGGTGAAGTTCCCAGCAATAAAAATTTTGAAATGGTTTTCAAGTAATCAGTGATTGAAAATATGTTGAAAGGGGCTTTTTTGCGAGTAATCAAAGTTTGGAAGAGTAAATAGATAAGAAATTTGAATTATTCAGTTAATTGTAAGTGTGTTTTAACAGAATCTTAATTTAAGATTTTATTACAAAAGTATTTAAAGATGAAAGTTAAGACGGCGATAATAAGTAATATTAAGAAAAAAATCAATTCTAAACTTATTGAATTTGTCGTTTAACGTTTAATTTATTCAATTTATTTCATATTGCGCATATTTCATATTTACATACTTGCAAAATTGAATTTGAGAAGATACGCGAGTTTCGATGAGATTTTCGTTTAAAACAATCTTTTAACATTCGATCTTCACTGTCTGTAATCTTTATTGTAAAAATATTGCGAATAGAGAAAACCGCATAGTAAGATCGATCGAAATAGATAGTTTTGCTGATACGAAAATAGTATTCTTTGCCTCGATACGTTCTTCCGGTTTTGTCTTTTTGTCATTGGAAGATGCTGTGAATACTCGACGGTTTCGCCTGATTTACATTGTTTCGCTATGCAGATCCAAGGTAAACATCTTGACATTTGTAACGTCGCTCGCGGCTTCTCCCTTAGGAGTTCAAGAAACGACAATCGAAAAAGTCGATGGATCGTGCACATCTGACATTTTTACGAGAGCTAAGTTATATTTCAAAACAGCATGGGATACATAATTTTTATGGAGCAATATAAAACAAGTATTAAATAACTGAATATTGATTCGATTCGGTCGATATTGCTTATTTTATTCTGACTTATTAGAGAACATCATTAATATTACTGTTCATTATTCTTCTATTTCTTTTGTGTTGCAAGAGTTAGCGTCTATTTATATGGCATTGCTTCATAATTAAGTTTTACTTTCGAATGACCATTGCTCGAAATAACATGGTCTAATAATATTCGCTTAATCGAGCGGTGGAATAATATAGTTCCAGATGGTTACATCGCAATTACTCGACAATACAATCCGTCTAAGCTACATCCGATATATTAAGCGAAAATACGATCTAGGCCACATTACTTACTATTTCGAGCGGTGGCCCTAATCGACTAGCTAATTACAACATGCGCACGAGAGCAACGCGAGTACATTTACCTTGTAAGACTGGAGATGATTAACGACGCAGGTGAAGGAGACGTCGCGACCTTGAGTGACCGTGTGATTTTCTAAGAGCGCCAGAAATTCGGGCAGGACCTCGGACTTGGGCGGCGTTTGTCCTGAATTGTGCAATTAGCGATTATGCGCCAGCGATTACGGCTAAAACGATCAGCAAAGTTAATCCCTAATTAGCCTACCACGCGGCCAACTTGCCGTCGATACGAATATGATATATGGACGGCGTATTAGAGAAATTTTGGATTCCTCAATACAAGAATGCCCATCATCTTTTTGCGTCGTACGAATAAAAAATTAATTTAGATTTAGATCGCTGCATGCTATTTATGCATGTAACGAGAGGTCGGTCAACTATGTCGTCGTGCGATAATCATAATTCTTTCTATGGATAGCACTTGTGGAATTATATCACTAGTGTATGATCCGTAACTTTGAAAACAACTTCTATGAAATGAAAATTAATGTTTAAAAGGGTTGCATATATTTTCTTAATATAAATATAAATAAAAATTGGTTTGTATTTCTTGATTATTGCAAATGATAATATATATTTGACGTTTCATAAGCCTTCACTGAGAGAAAAGTTTTTGTGACTATAATTATGATAATTATATATCATAATTATGATTATTCTTGCTGTAATATTAGTAATAATAAATAATAAGTTTTATCAATACATACATCTAGTTAGAATCGAAAATGACTATAAAATTATTATTGCCAAAAATGATGCAATCACTATAATTCAATTATAATTCATACTCATTTTTTGGGTCGGTAATATTTTATCAATTTTTACAGCAATAATAAACATAATTATGATAATATTATATGTACACTATTGGAAAAAATGTGTCGAATTTAACACATACCGCAAACGGTCCACTCAAATTTTTAGATTAATTAAACAATAGAAGATGAATATGTTAGAAGGCCCACAAATATTATGGAAAATAATAAATACAAAAAAGATATCAACACAGTTTGTAAAAAACCGTAGAAGCATATTTTTTTTAGAAAATTAACGTTTATGATATGTTAAATTAACACGTATTTCATTCATTTGTCTTAGAATTTACATTTTAAAACACATTATTTTTACTTGTTCATTTACTCATAAATTATGTTTGACATTAAGAAGCATTGAATATAAATTTCACAAAAAATGTTTAAGTAACATAATTACACTAAATTAACACTTAAAAAATTCAACATAAATTGTTAATACAGACCGTGAGTGGACCGCTTCCAATACACAATTTTTTTTTACTGTGAGTTATAATCACAAAAACACCAAAATTTTTCTTTCAGTGCTGAATATATACATTCTATTTTATTGTCCTATGAATCTTCTGGAACGATTTTTGTTCGTATTTTATTATGCAACACGCAGGGACAGTCAGTGCGCCGTATAATGGAGTGTTGATTAATCGCGTCGAACCGTTATATGGACCCTGTATAATTATCTCACATCACGATAGTCACCCTTCGTGTTCTCGCATGGCGGATGCCAATTCGATATGACGTTACATTTTACACAGGGAGATCGTGCGTTGATCATTCCAGCAATAATGGAATAGAATCTAATAAGTGAAATAAAAAAAAGATATATTCTTCTTGTATTCCTTTTGATTAGCTCGAGGCAAACACGCGAGCACGAAGAAAAGAGAGAAAGTTTCGCGAGAAACGGAGTGTTTATTAATCACGTGGAACACGGCCGAGCGAAAGTTCGCTGACTTGTGGAGTAATCATCATCTATCATGATCTATCGCGTGGAAAGGCTATCCCCCGAAGAGCAGGTAATATTTTCGTTGGTCTGCACATGCGAGTCGAGTACTCGACAACCTATGCACTGTGATTTGTATGTATAGTATAATGTCGAGAAATCACCCCTATATTGCCCCGAACTAACCTGTACCTTACTATTGTGGGTCACTAGTGACCGAGTGATTCCTTACTTATGAGTCTTTCAGTTATATAATTATAATTTAAATTATACTACATTTTGTTATTTTCCAGAATGAAGTTAAATATTTGTTCTAGAAGGTATATTTTATCGAATGTATATTTGTGAATTTTTAGAGCCATTTTAAATAGATGAAAACATGAACGGGTTCTAATGATGGTAGGAATGAGGCATGATATTCTAAGAGTTAAAGAGGAATCTCAATAAATTTATATTGAATTATAAGAAAAAATATTTCAGGTATATGTGAATTATTACAAATACATTTCATTTTATTATTTCTTATATTTACAAAAATCTATTGTTTCACATATAAATTTATTAAAGTACGATAAAAGTTAATTGCATTTATACACTGAAATGTCATAGTAAAATACGAACCAAAACTGTACATATTGTACGTAAATACAATAATAATAATTCTCATAATAATTTAGGTTATAAAACTATTATTAGAATTCATTGCAAGAATAAATATATAATTATATATTCAGTTATTATATCAATGAATTAACTACATTAAGTTGGATGATTGACAATCATTCATTAGATCAAAAGTAACCAAAAATTTTTTTCAGTGTAAACTTTATCAAATTTCCTTCATATTCCTTAATTCTAATATAATAAATATACGTAAATTTCTGTAAGTTTAAGATTAAATCATTTAAAAAAAAAAAATTTCGTAATCTACAGTTATGCAAACGAATAGAGATAATAAATAAATAAGCGTAACGATACAGAATGCATTTCGTTTTCCGAGAGAAAAAGGAGGAGAGAGGAGTTGGCGGCCTGTGCTACTTTGCAATTCCTGCTTCTTTTTAAGCGGGGATTCTTTTTAAGCTCTCGCGAAAACGCGAAAGGCTACCGATAGCAACGTCTTTGGAGAAGGATTTCATTTGATTCTTACCGTAACTGGAGCAAAGAAAGGCGGCACAAAAGTAACGGGCACGATACCAATCGCGGCGCGGCGGTCCTTGGATAGAAGGGAAGGAGGGAATTCTGTCATTTCGTGCGGATTAAAAACTTGTAACTTTTGCTTCTCCTCGTAACTCCCCCGGACAATTTTCTCTTTTTTACCTGTCTCTCGTAAGGATCTACGCGTCGTCGGATCACGGAAATATTATACTTACCTTATCGAAGCGGTATATTCGAGACTTCTTACCGAGACTGACGGAGAAGAAGGTGACAATAAGGGCGCACAGTGCGAAGTTCCGTGATGCCATGCCATAGGGTAAGCCATACGCCATACGTACTGCAACAAAAAGCGTGAAATTGAAGCAAGCCCTTTGTTAAATATATTAAATAAACCAAGTGACAGTGTCACATTTAGATTGGAAATTGTTTAAAAATATTTAATGACTTTTTAAATTTTTTATTTACTATTAATTGATTGCTAATTTTTATAGTAAAACGTCATTTACAATTCGTTGATTTAAAATTAATATAAACATAGGCAAATCGATGCACGGAAAATCCTTTTACTAAAATAATTAACTTCGGATCGGGATGTTTGAATATCGATTATAATGATTTTCAGCGGTGCGATTTCTCTTCCACATCTACCAGGCAATAATTTACACATACGAAAATAAGTAATACGAGTAATTAAAAAATACCGCAAAAAACATGGTAATATAGAAATTTCGAACAGAAAGGATTAATTTTTTATTCATATTTTATAAAAATTTACAAATATATTAATTTATAAATAAGAACAAGCTGTGAGATCAAAGATAAAAAATGTTTGTGTACATCTGACTACTAAAAATCAAAATAATGCAAACAAACTAGTTAGAAAATGTAACGATATTAAAACTTTAAAAACCTGCAAAAATTATGGCAAAAGAAATATTTAAAAGCAACTAATTTTATCGAATAAGAAATAATTGATACGACATGTACTAATTCAGTCAGTTGTTTGTTATTTTGTAAATAAGGTTTATATGAAAGTAAGATCCGTAATTACAATTTTCACTAACATAACATACATAAATTTCGCGTAAAAAGAGAAATGCGCAAGGTAGTGTTATGGCGAGGTGCGGCAACTGATTTCAGAGGTGAGAGAGAAGAGAGAGATCGGAGGTTGAAATCGAGAATTTTGCGACGCATGTTCGAAACGAGGATATGGAACGGAGAAGGAGATCGAAGGGAGGAGAAGGTCGGAATCACGTGAATATTAACTCGACAGTTGGTCGCCACATAAACGCCAACCCGCTGATATATCTGCCATTCGCCCGTCGTCGACCGACCAGCACCGCAATAATACTCTCGAATGGCGATAGAGGCACCCTCTTCTCCGCACCCTCTCACGATATACGCACACTCTGATCTGCGTCTCCGGAGCACATGTGCGCGTGGATGCGTATATCATATATATATATATATATATATA